AAGTATTAGTATTATTCGAATAAGATAACTAGTGTAATCATGTTAACAACTTATAATTTAATTGGAACCTTCTTTATGTGTGCTTTTTAATTGCATAATAAAAAAAGTTTATACTATTAGTGGATCCTTTAACCTCGACATTTGTTTTTATCATTGTTTGATCCTCACATTGATATTTCATCTCAAAGTTCCCATCAACTTCTTCTTATTTATTATTATTATTACTACTACTATTACTATTACGATTATTATTATTACTACTACTATTACTATTACTATTACTATTACTATTACTATTACTATTACTATTACTATTACTATTACTATTACTATTACTATTACTATTACTATTACTATTACTATTGTTGTTGTTTATAATTTATATAATTAACCTCCCTATGGTTTCACCCTGGTTTTGCCGGGTTATTTATTATTTTGACACTCCTACACTTAGGAGAAAACATTAACCTTTTGGTCATATTAAAACTGATAGAAAACAAATCAAAAAATAATTATTAAAATTTTTGACTTAATCCAATAATGAAGGATGAAGTCGAGGAAAAATAATAATTAAAAAGAAAAAAAATTTAACTCAAGCCAACATGGCTAACCCCTTAAACTCATAACCGAGTAATAAAACTGAGATAATTTCATGAAAAGTAAATTAAAATAAATTATGAAGTTTAATAATCAGTAAGTTCAATATTAAAAGATATAATTTTTAAAAAATACAAAGTTTGAAATAAAAATAAAAAAATTCATAAAATTTTTTGATGAACCGAAAAAAATAATTCTTAATTTTTTGCTATTTAATATTGCTATAATAAAATAACAAGGTGTTTAAATATATGCTAAAATCCTAGTGCAACGGACATATTGAATCCCACTTTTCTCTTAACTTTTCCAGCGCAATACATCTGTTGGGTTATCGTTGAAAATTATATCATTTTGTTTTTTTAATAATTGTGTTTTTGTTTTTATACCGGAAAGAATGACAGGGCATTTTTTAGATTTACATGGGACGATGGGAACCAATTTTCAATTTATTATTATTTAAAAAAAAAGGTAGAAATAGAGGTTGTAATAAGGAATTAGAAAAATATTTGAAAGAAACAAAGGCTTTAATAGAGGCATGGTACACCAATGTTTTTATTGGGCTTGTCTTAGTTGGATTTCTAGCAAAGATAGTATTTTTCTTAATTTTTATTATAATTACATTACATTATATATATATATATATATATATATATATATATATATATATATATATATA